CTATTCATCTGTAGATTATCCCTGATACAACTAACTGAAAATCGTTCCTCATATGACGTCACTGCAGTGCTCTGTCGCCAGAGTTACGTAACCTGTCTGTGGTTTCGTTGGCGGGCGAGAGTGAAGCAGGCGACGTTTTGGCAACTTTTAATCGCTCGGTATTAATTAACCACAAGTATTTTAAGAATGAATTTGGTGTTCCGCATAAGACTAACCACAAATCTTTCATATGTAATAGTTAAAAGAGTACAAAAAAGGAGAAGTTTATTTGTTCTTTAACTGTTAGATTGATTCACATCGTATTTAGAATTACCAAACGATGGGCGATTTAGAAAGCAATGTGCGCCTTGAGGTACAAGGGAGATAACTCTATTAAGATTCTTAGCCATTACCTACACTGCCCAGAGACGGTTTTGCACTTCCTTGAATGCCCAACACATAAAAACCACGCCAGGCTCTCAAAGAAACTGTGCTCAACATAACTAAAAAAGTTTTTACAATTAACACAATGCTCGGGGATAATTTAATGTATGGTTGCATACAAAGAGCTGTGTTAGACAACCTCATTCAAACGATGAAGTATGACATGTTTTAACTGAAAATAAATTTATGTACAACAGTTTGTTAAGTGTTGGGAACATATAGGCCTTTTCGGGCCTCAGGTCGTCCTAAAACGGGGGCGACCCGCCAGGCAAACATTTGAACCAAATAGACATGCAGAGAGGTGCGCCAGGCCGACTTGCCGGTGTCCTTTGAAGTAATTAACGCCAACTAGCATTGTTTTTGACAGTACGGGGGTCAGCTCATGACGAGTTCACCACTTTAGTGAGTTCTAGCTCATGGTTTAATTAACGAGTTCACCACTTGCATTACTGAATTTACAGTTTTGAACAGTGTTCACACAGAGTATAAATAAGGAATGATATATTTACCAAACAATTCGCAATCACGACTCACGCACAGGTAGATCTTAAGTTCATTCCGTCCAACCGTGGAGAAGACTATTAGTTCATCAAGGATACATGTTCAAGAGCAAAAAGAAGACTGACTGACTGAGTTTGGTTTTACGCCGCTTTTAGCAATATTCCAGCAACATCACGGCGGGGAACACCAGAAATGGGCTTCACACATTGTACCCATGTGGGGATTCGAACCCGGGTCTTCGGCGTGACGAGCCAACGCTTTAACCATTAGGCTACCCCACCTCCCCAGCAAAAAGAAGAGACATCCCTGGCAGTCCTGGCAGTCGTGGGAATGTATGCTGAAGACCTGTCCTGCAAGACTGTCAACAGTAAACGACATCTTGACCAAACAAGGAGCAGGTCATAACCATCAACGGGTAGACATTGATATAAAGGTAAGACGGTAGTTTTATTCAACCATTAAAAATGTAAATATTTTTTACAAATATGTTTTCATATCCCAATTATATTTTTAACAAAATTCTCTCATGGCATTACAGACAGTTAATTTTCAATTCTCTTTACCAGGTGAAAAAGATCTTGGAGACCATCAAGGGCCTTGCAACCAAGTCCACCAGTGCTTAAAATGAACGTATGGAATATATGTATGAAAGATGCTTAAAATAAATGTATGAAATGTATGTAAATTGCTCAATGTGTGTATGAAATGTTTGCAAAGTGCTTGTGATTGATTGATTGTATGAAGAAATGAACGAATGTATTTTTGACATGTCCCCCAGATTTAACCCCCACCCCCCACCGCCATTATTTCGCTAATCCTTTTTAAATTGTAAAAGGTAAAATGTGAGTTTTGTGAGTTCTCTAGTAATTGTTGTGTTAAGTTTTGTTAATAATTTTAGTATATTTATAAATATTATTTGGGATGGGGGAACGGGAGGCATTCTTACAGAAGGGGCTGAAAAGAGCGAATTATCTCGTTTGTCGATCTGGCGGTACCTCCCCCTAAAACCTCCCCTACCTACAGCGATACCCTTCCTCTGTGTTTGTATGTGCTGGCGTCGTTCAGTGCTGGCCACGTCCAATTTACACATTACTTGTCAAAGACGTGACCTTTATCTACAAGCTTCATCCATTCTGATGATTAACACTACGTATTTCTTAAATATGTATCTATAAACAAAGAAATTATCCAACATAGAAACGGTTATGTGATCCTATTTATCTTAGTAAACTAAACAACATTTGTTATTGAAACTAGAATGTATTTTATTTTTTGGTACAATAATAACAAATCAATTAATAGTTTCAAAACATTTTTTAATATAATCGTTGTTTGATACAATGCCTATCGTTTTGTGATACCGTGGGTGATGATACGAGAATCGTATCGACAGGCCGGCCACGTACCTTTCCAAAACAGTACAAGTACACGTAGGGTATACGTAGACAGGGCTCCAGATAATTTTTCAACATCAGGAGTATGTACTCCTTATTTGTTCAATATAGGAGTACTGGAAAATCTTAAATGTACATTTAGAGTACTGAATGGAAGCTAATGGACTATCAGTAATCTTGTGTTTCGTTTCAGATAAATACGTTTGTAAATGATTCTAAGACCGTACACCATTGCTGTGGTGCGTATTTGCTACGTTTTCTAAATTACTTCCTACCGTATCGTGCATATTTTTTATCCGTACATACGTCGATACGGACCTTATCTGGAGCCCTGCGTAGATATGACATATATCTCAAGGTATTGTTCCAATAAAACATTGGAATCCAGTAAATGTTTTTTTAGCTAAGCTAAAATTAATTTTCTTTGAGGACGGTAATGTTTCCTAAAATGTTAAGTACCGAGTTAACAAGTATATTGCGTTGTGAATAAATTCTTACGACATTGTTAGAGATATTTGTAAGGTATCGCAACTATGTGCTCCGTTGCACAAATAGTCTGCCTCGCAGTCCATGAAACGTACTACATTGTACATTTATTTTCCCTTCCGCTCTTACCCTATATGACTGACTGACTGAGTTTGGTTTTACGCCGCTTTTAGCAATATTCCAGCAACATCACGGCGGGGGACACCAGAAATGGGCTTCACACATTGTACCCATTACCCTATATGAAGCAGGTGTATATTTTTGCACAGGCTCAGAATGCCGTCCCCACAAGCTTTTCTTTTCAAAACTAAATGGGCGCCTTGTTTCTGTCAAAATTATTTCAGAGACTAAGCGTTAGTCATTAATGTTCTCTGCATCTATGGTATTTTTGATACAATATAATTTCCATGCTTTTAATACGTCTTTCCAAAAAGGATTATCAACTGCAACTATATTCTGAAAATTTGCTCCATATTTTAGCATATCCTTAAAAGGAAAATTGCATGGGTTACCAGGATTTGTTTTTTTTAAAGTATAGTTTGAGTGTAGATAATTTCATGGCGTTAACAAAGGTTTTAATATCAATCATCCGTATGTGCACATATTCCTCTATATGCTTGTACCCATCATGTTTTTGTACTCATCACATTGGGAACAATTTAAAAAAAAAGAAGAAAAGCGTTAGTCTGTCCTAGTTCGTACCACACACAGCAGAGATCTATGCGAAAGTTGGGGGTGCTAAAAGACTCACACCTATCTAAGTGCCTCGAACTCCGTTTCTCTAGCTTAGCGTGCTGTTAAACATGAGATACTGTTGAGATAGTGGAATACAAGGGTTATATATCTGAACTTAAATACATACATCAGCTAATTATATTCTTCCCTTAGTCGCACTCTCTGGTAATCAGGACAAATTGATTTTTGATTTTGTGTTTGTCTCTTTGAAGGTTTAAGAAATCTAAATAAAAATATCTAAAAGTGTTTCATTATAATGTATCTTCATTTTAAATAGCAGAAACGTTCGAGTTAATTTAAGGCAAACAACTATTAATGATCATATATAGAGTTTGGTCCATGTTTAGATAAACCAGATGGCGAGGTACCCCTAGCCTTGCTCCAAGGCTGTACTGAATGCTGAGCCCGTGGATGTATAGTAATTCTATCCTTCGAAGAGGCAAGTGACCGCCTCCGTGGTGTAGTGGTCAGAGCGTCCGCCCGGAGAGCGGAAGGTCGCGGGTTCGATCCCCGACCGCGTCATACCAAAAGACGTTAAAATATGGTACTTGTTGGTCCCTGTCTGGCGCTCGTCATTAATGGGTACAACAAGGACTGGTCGGCTCGGAGTCAGTATAATGTGTCTGAGTGGGGTATTCATGCTTCACTGCGGCATGGTATCTCAGTGGGCTAGCACTATAAAACCAGCTTAAGTCTGGGCTAGTACAAGCAGCCGCACATACACATACACACGCATGCACTTCGTCATATGAGCGAAATATTCTCAAGCACGACGTTAAACCCAATTTCACCTTACCTCACCTCGAAGAGGCAAGTCTAGGTAGTAGGATCCCTGTTATTTATCATTTTTTAGAAATTATCATTTAAAGTGTTAATATATACCTTAGAGACTTATGCAAGTCTAAGGTACCCCATGAAGCGGTCGTTGTTGGCACCGTCAAAGTCGTCGGGATAAGATGACATGCAATGAACCAAAACACCGATCCTGACATCCGATTATTTTACTTTTTTAGTAGCCACTCACTCTTGCAACAAGCATGATATAGCTTGCTTGGAAACTCTTTTCACCTGAAATTTAATCAGGATTATTTGACCACTATTATGTGTTTTGATCGTTAAATTAATGAATGATTACGGGGAGACAGTTTCCTAATTTTACACAAATTACAATGTCTAGACCTAAAACGCTTTGCAAATTTACGCAAATGTAACTGAGGCTATATAAAATGGATGTTTCCTTTTCATGGATACAGTTGTCACAGTCTCGTATTGTATTTTTCTAAGCCTGTAACTGAAGCGGTGTTCTTCTGTTTAATACCGAAATCCATTCATAATTTTCTGTCGGTGGAACCTGGAAGTCGAATTTTGTGGACCACTGAACTGTCTGTTTGAGCCCAACCCATATCATTACTTTCCCGATTATGAGATTAGAGTGACGCCCCTTGTCAATTGCGGAAGCAGGTGGCGCTATACAGGAAGTACACGTGTGGTGTTTTGACGTTCAGTCAACTTCAATATTGTTTAGATACTGTCTGTTACAGAAGAATCAGCAAGGTTTTAAGACAATCAAAATGAGAAGGGCACATATAGGTAATATACACAGATAATTATGTTTCTTATCTCAAATTATTTATGTGTAATTACACATGTTTATTGTGAAACCTGTTTTCGATATTTATTTCTGTCACTGTCAGCTCTGTAAAGTCGCAATATTTATTACGAGACACTATTTGGCCTAGTCGGGTGTCAGTTATTTTATTAATCACGAGTAGTCGTGTTCAGGTGCAAGCAAATTAATATGGCGCCGAGGAAAAAGATTACACAACAAAAATCTACTTATATATTTTGAATCTACTTTTACTTTTACTTTTTAATGTGAGTTTTACTTTTATAAGAGGGCTCTGATTTCATGTGTTTTTCTCTCAGTGTTTTTCCACAGTTTATGACCACGAGAAGTAGATGAATGCTTTGAAGGTGAAAAAAACACAGGATGAACATCAGAGTTAGCTGGGTCCGACTGTCAAGACATTAACATGCATCACGCCATGAGGGAATGCTTGACAGGGTGATGAATGGTTATGTCATGACATTTGGACCCCACCGCGTCTCTCGGCTACATGCTGTGTTTGTCAGATCCTGAAGTGTGAAGCCTATTTCTGGTGTCCCCCGCCATGATGTTGCTGGAATATTGCTAAAAGCGGCGTAAAACCAAACTCAGTCAGTCAGAGCCTGACACTGACAGAGCTCTTGTTTGCAACCGGAGCAAAATGTCTGACATTAATATGTTGACATCTTAAGGGATGAGACAGCAGCATTTGTATAATAGGAGGGTGTGTAATGGGAGTCATTTCATTGGGGGTCAAATATAAAGGGCCCTGCTTCAGCTCAGGGGAAACCATTCCATCATATTAGCCTACATGTTATTAACCCCATATCCCACTATAGTTACTATTAGTTATCCTAATGATGGTCATTTCACAGAGGGCAGATGATTAGGTGAAGAAAGTTGAACTGTGATCAGGTGAGATGGGGTGACAGTGCCAGATAAACCCTGTAACTATAGTAACTGTAGGTTATTGGTTGCGACCTATGGGGTACCAGTGCCAGGTAAACCCGCTCAGTAACCATAGTAACTGTATGTTATTGTTACAGGAGACATGGGGTACCAGAACCAGGCCCAACTGGTGGAGGAAGAAAACCAGGTGTTGGAAGATGCACTGTCAGGGAAAGTGAAGGCTCTGAAATCTGTGAGTGGAATTTGTGACGTGATGTTGTCTTTTGAAATTCCTTTCATGCATACCTAGGTATGCAAAAGGATATTTCCCCATTGTAAATTCCTAGTTACTGTCCCCAGCAGTTTATTCTAGTTGTAAAAGACGAGAATATCATTTTGTTGGTGGGTCAGTCAAATGCATTATGTCAGTCGTATAGTAAGATCCACCCAGGTATTCGAGCCACTGTCTTATTGCGAAGCATCCTCGATTATCTCCAGGGAATACGTTATGATAAATCTCCACTAAGCCCTGGATGCATCTATGGCTCTGCCCGATGATTTTATTACCTCCCTTGGTTGGCTTTTTATCCAATCAGGTGTCTACGCTGGGAAGTTGAGCGTACCAATCACAACTCACTTTCGCTTCTTAAATTATCTAATTGATTAAACTTGGCAACACAATTGTTGCAGAGGTATTCTGAAAGAGGTAGAAGGAGTTCTTGCATATAAGTTTCAGACCTGTCAATTTGTCTGTATGATTTCCCCCCAAAATCTGAGTCACACTGCCAACAAACCTTCGCGGCTGCAACCGCTATCTTTGTTGACACTGGCAAGTTTGGTTGTAATTGCGGCTTACCTGATTGGCTACTGTGAGAATGTGGAGCCAGCAAAGGGAGGTAATAAAATTATCGGGCCAAGCCATAGATGCATCCAGGGTACTTGTGGAGATTTATCGGAACATATACCGTGGAGATTATCGAGGATGATTGCGAAGGAATCCTAAGAAAACAACAACAACAACATAACATTCATCCCCAGAACAAAACTCATATGAAAAGTCTTATGTCTGGGATGATACACTATGTCACGATACGATACGCATTGCGATATTTTACCTGCGATACGATAGGTATCAAGATACATACACCTTGAAAGACTGGCACAGTATTAAGGTTTAAACTGATTTTTTTCAAGTTATGTGTGTATAACAATAACACTATTGTAATAAACAAGCACAAAACTCTATCATACTTGCCTATTTTTCTCTAAATAAGTACTTTAACATGTTAAAGATAAAACTGTTTTGAAAAAAAATTGTGTATCATTTTGTATCAATACACCAGTCGACGATACGATAGCTGTTTCAAACTTACATGTATCGCGATGTATCGGTGAATCGTCCCAGTCCTAAAATGTCTTATGTTTCATATAAAGAAATTAATCTCAGGAATTCTGTTTAAGAAATGAGTCTATACAATAAATGCATGATTCGAATGACTAATGACAAGTATCCACCATTAGTAACAAGCAAATCTGATATCGTCACACAAACATATGTCAATGAAAGTCCCTACAACCAATTAACTATTGTACACAGACTGATAAACTTGGGAGAGGTGTCAAAAGCAGGGCATATGGTATCTTACAATCTGAATAATGTTTCATGTAGTGGTGAACTCCTCAACCATCTGTCATGCGTACAAGCCCATTAAGCCTTTATGGCCCACCTTTACATGTTTTGACCGAAAGAAGAAGTAATTGAACTAGTCTGTCCTGATACTAATGAGAAAACACGAAATGCTGGAATGGCAGTCTAAGTAAACTTAGGCTCAGTATTATCCGGTTACACTGCTTTACTGAGTCTAACAAAACCTTGTGGAAGGTCGCGTCAGGTAACCTTTTCAATGGACCAATCAGAACACAGCTTACCAAATCGTGAAAGTTGACATTCGCACATACCTTTTGAACTTTTACCTCGAAAAAGTTTTGTACCCGAACGATTCCAAATGCTATTATCCGTACGATCACTTCCGAGTGATGAACATGGAGCACGCCACAAGAGTGAGTAAACAGTCGCTGAGAATAGCGTTTTGTCAGTATTCAAGGATGTCAGCTTGCGGAAATATTAGCTAATGGTAGCCATGTCAACAGAAACTCAAAAGCGTCTATTCTGCAGGTCATATATCTGTGTTTTATGCGGATTTTCATTTGTTATGAGATCAGTGACCGGGGAAGAGAAAATCCATTTTGTAAGTCCCGCCAACCCTAAATAGTAGCCGTTGTCTGATTGGTTAAATCCGTTCGGCCGTCTCGCGTTTGATTGGACGGTCATAGGTCGCTCAAAGGTTACCTGACGCGACCTTCCAAAAGGTTTTGTTAGACTCAGTATAGCAGTGTAACGAATAATACTGAGCCTAAGTTTACTTAGACTGGCTGGAATGGATATGTTTTATCCGTCAGACTCATATGTTATAGTAGTAGATCTGCTTGTAATAGGTGTTTCTGTTTGTCATTTTCAGCTAAGTATCGATATTGGAACAGAAGTGAGGACACAGAATATGCAGTTGAGAAACATGGTGAGTCAGATGTGTCTACATGTCTTACATGTGTAACCCGTGAAGATCCAGGTTAGAATTGGTCTTCAGCAATCGATGCTTGTAGTGAAAGGTAACTAACGGGATCGGGTGGCTTGCTGACTTACTAGTAGTTGATACATGCCATCGTATTCCAATTGCATAGATCGATGCTGATGCTGCCAATCACTAGATTGTCCTAGACCAGACTAGTTCGGATTATTTAGACCGCTGCCAGTGTCATATATCTGGAATATTGCTGAGCACTCTATTAAACTGACTGACTGACTGACTGACTGAGTTTGGTTTTACGCCGCTTTTAGCAATATTCCAGCAACATCACGGCGGGGGACACCAGAAATGGGCTTCACACATTTTACCCATGTGGGGATTCGAACCCGGATCTTCGTCGTGACGAGCCAACACTTTAACCACTAGGCTACCCCACCGCCCCCTCTATTAAACAACAAACAAAACAAATCTTGCATGTGTATCGACAAGAATTTACAGTTGTCACAAGAATTTGAAAGTCTGTTTTCTGTGTGGAACAAATGTTGCTTCATGAGCCCTTGGCAATGTGTCATGGTTGCAGCAAAAGGCTGGAAGACCAAAGAACCAACAGCTTATCTGGAAATGTCACAACAGAATTCGCTTTTTTATTGACAGTATGTGCACAATAGGCCATTTGGGTAATTTACATTTGTGACACGGGTAATACCGGTATGCATTTGTCACTTTTGTGTTATAAGTAAAGCCCACCCCCAGGCCCTTTTTTCAAAATCCTGAATCCACCTCTTCCTATCATATCAATGCATCTGTTGCAGGATGATGACTTTGACACTTCGGGAAACATCCTCCAGGCAACGATGGGACGACTGAAGGCGCTGACAAAAGCTGGACACTACAAAATCTGGATCTACATGATCTTGTTCTGTGTGTTTGTGTTTCTAGTTTGTTGGTTCATTGTTAGATTCAGGTGACCGAAAGTAACTTCTATTTATACTGACAACTACAAAAATGCCAACTAGAAAGACATTGAACTCAGAATCATAACATTTTGCTCACTTCAGTTGAACCCTTCTTGCTGTTTTTATTATTTAGATGTTTTAATCTCCTTTGCATTTTTTTGTCACAAAAAACTCTCTGAATGCAACACAAATAATTGATGCAATATCATAAACAGGAAAATGTAAACAGAATTATGAGGACTAAGATATTTTGTAAATAAGTAATTATGATACTTATTGGAATGGCATTTAGTGTTGTTAAAAAATAGTTACGTCTCTTCATACATATGCTACTCAGAAGACGTTAAGGTTGAACATGGTATTACGGATGAACCAAAAAAATATGATCATGCTGAAAAAGACTCTGTAGTGGTTTATGGCATGACGGATTAACTATTGTGACATGAAGAACTGAATGATCCTTGGTATGACAGAATAATGATAGTTATTTAGAGGAATTAAGAGGTAATTAAGTTCCTTGAGAACAATATTTGCTCACTGTATATGCAGCCAGTGTTCTTTGATTTGTACAATAACTGGTGCAGGGCTTGATAATTTCACCAGTTTGACATGTTTAAAGATAGACTGGAAACCTCACTAAATGTCTCAATGTTTGTGCTGCTAAGTAGGTCATTTTGTTGTATTTCAGGTATATTGATTATAGTCTTGGCCCATGAAGATCCGGGTTAGAATTGATCTTCAGTAACCCATGCTTGTTGTAGGAGGCGGCTAAGGAGATCGGGTGGTCAGGCTCGCTGACTTGGTTGACACATGTCATCGTATCCCAGTTGCGTATATCGATGCTCATGCTGTTGATCACTGGATTGTCTGGTCCAGACTTGATTATTTACAGACTGCCTACATATAGCTGGATTATTGCCGAGTGCTTCATAAAACTAAACTTACTCACTCAGTGATTATAGTCTTGAAGGTCTTCACTGTAACAACATATTCAGCTGCATTGTGAATCTGTTTGTTCTCCATCGTTGATGCTATCAGCCTAGTCACTTGTTGACACTATGTAATAGGGTTTTGGAGATGCGTTTGTCGTAGATGATACACAAAGAGGGCGAGAATTTAAACCACACATTAATTGCATGTGAGACTGAGAGGTAGAAGATAAATTTTATTTATATGTTGATGAAACCTAAATGTTTCTGATGATAGCGAGTGTGGAGTTTTACCCATTCTGAACTGTGTTTTGGTCAAATTCTGTAGTGTAAACAAAAAAATATGGACTGTTCAGTAAATGTTTGAGTTTGGCAATAAGGCTGTAACGATTCACTCACATATTCGGTGAATCGAACCGTAGCACTTCATAAATTCAATTCAGTTATTCGTGGTCACCAGAACCGAATATTAACAAATATTTACAAATTTTTTAAGGGAGCATGTTTTACTTGAACCCTTGTGTACTTTTGGAAAGTGAAATATGCAAGTATTGAATATGTACTAGCCTTGCAGTAGCGCAAGTCATGTTAGTTTGCCAAGGCCGCACATAGTACTGTCATTGTCAACTAGAACTATTACATACCAAATTTGAGTGTCATGAGATCACTGGTTATTGTTGTGACAAATCAAAACTGTCAAAATGGGCGTTCCATATTGTACATCAATCACTTAACTACAATATTGTATTCGTGAATAATTATTCGTATTCGTTACCCAATATTCATGATACATATCGTATTCTCCACATAGTGTATTCGTTGCAGCTCTATTTGGCACACAGTTCTTAGAAAAATTACAGATGGGTATAGCAGTTTTGGGTGCTTGTTGGAGAGCATGCTTATTGAATTTGTGTTCGTCACATTTTATTTGTCATGGTATTGCTTCCATACTGATGAAAGTTGTGTATTATAAACTAATCCTGGTACCATGGTAACCTGTCTTCATCTGTTTCTTCCTCTAGTCATGAAACTCACTTTAATGAAACTTGTGTGTCACCATGGTTACAAGCGTGATTCAATTTCCATGGAATCAGTACACAGGATATAAATCGTCTGTATGCTTGTATTTTAGAGGGTGATGTTTAAAATGTGTCCCCATGGTTACAAGCGTGATTCACTTTCCTTGTATTCTGTACACAGGATACAGAGGATGATATTGTGTAAATATATATTGTTTGTAGGTACTAATTATTTGTGTATGGACGATATTCAGGACATGTTATTGAGCTGTTCTTGTTGTCCCTGAGGTGTGTTTTTCAACTAAATACACATCCAGGAAGAGTCATGCCTATATTGTTAAGTGATTACATACTGTAAATATGAACATTCTATTTTATGACCATTGTAAATACTGCATGTTGTAAGCCAGGTGTACATGTGAATAAATCTACTTTTATTGTTTCTTATATTTGTGTTTGCTGCTTCTTGGAATAAGAGAATGTCCTGTGTTTGATCAACTGACGCAGTGTCACTGACTGACAAATTGAGGTAGTTGCTAAGAAAGAGTTTTCATCTAATGATTGTATTGTTTGAATAAACACAACAATCCAACTGTGTAGCAGTTGGTTGTTGTATGCGAGAGTAGACACTAAGTCATACTTACCAAATTAAAGTGCAAAATATTCTGAGGGAAATAAATAAGGGATCGCATGAAAGGACACGTGTTCCTTTATTTTTTTCCAGGTTTCTTCACAAGTTGTATGATACAAAGCTTGTGAAGAAACCTGGGAAAAAATATAGGAACACTTGTGCTTTCATGTGATCCCTTATTTTTTTCCCTCAGTATACATCCTCCAATGTGTAAAATAGTGGTATGTTTCTATAAGAACAGACCGTTGCAAGCTTGGGTGTTCATGTTGTGTAACTAAGAGCACTCATATTTTCTCGCAAAAGAAAAAGAATCTAAAGAAATGTAATGATATATGAATTTTCTTTTTAATTTGTAGTGATATTGCAATAAATACAAAGGTCTCAATAACTCTTCCTTGTGATAAATATTGGGTTATTGACCAATCAGCTTATAGCAAAGCGAATCAAATGACATGTTTGTATAATTGAGTCTGGACCATACAATCCAGTGACGGACATCGTGAGCATCGATCTACACAGTTTGGATACAATGACATGCTCAAACGAGCCTGGTCACCCAATACGGTTAGTCGCATCTTATGACAAGCACAGTTAAGCTCTTCATAGGCGACATAATTATGATTTGTCCAGGACAGATGGGTGTTTGAAGGTGTTTCAGACATTCACAGTAACTGGGGTGGTGGGCTAGTCTAGTGGTTAAAACATTCACTTGTCACGCCAAAGACCTGGGTTTGATTCCCCACATGGATACAATGTTTGAAGCCCATGTCTGGTGTCCCTCGCCATGTTATTGCTGGAATATGGCTAAAAGCGGTGTAAAACTAAACTCACTTCACATTAACTCCTGCACACAGTGATATAGAACTACTAACGACAGTGAAAAGGAAAATACTTTATTCTTTATCAACTAAACATGACCTGGTTCACTTACCAGCACTAACATGTTGCTTAAAATGAATAATTGCCGTTTGAAAAATAGATTAAGAAATATTCATACAACCTCATGCCTACCAGCAAACAAGGCTGGATTTGACCCCAGTTTGTGCTTTACTTAATAACAGAATGTATAGAACTTGGTATGTCATATTTCAATTTCCTCATTTTCCAGATTTTCTCATTTTTAAATGTATAACCCCCAGAGACAAACTTGCTTTTTCACATATTTTAGCCAAAGTGTGCATGTGTATTACACATAAAGACCAAAAGAAAGAATTGTAAGATGCCTTGCTGAACATACCCATATTTTAAACTTTTAATTACTTTAAACTTTGACATTTCCAAACGAGTGCCTACCTCTACTTTCATGATACAAAATGTATGATATACATTTGCAGCCAAGGCCAAATTTAGAAAGTCAAGACCTGAACGTGAAATACAGTGTCCCTCTTGCAAGTTAGACTTATCAGATAACCCATTAAGTCACTGAGACCCTTGTCTTAGCCTTATAAGATCGCTTCGTGAAATAGGACCACGAATCTCTTTTAAACTGTAACTAACAATAATAATCAAACCATCAATTCAACATCAAGGAACATGTAACAATGTAACTTGCGTTTTCTCGAGACAAGGGAGATAACCGACTCCAGAACCCAGTTGCCAGACAGTTGCTCAGTTATCTCCCTTGCCTGGGGAAGACTAACTTTGGGATGAAAACCTTTAAGTAGGCGTAACAAACTAAATATACTAGCAGTGTATGAAATAAGCCAAGACCCTGCCAGACATGGATTTAACCAGAACAGACAATCCAAACAATTTTTTTTTGATGTATGGAACATATCTTAATTTTTTGCCAGACCATCGGGCGGGCGGGCGTGCTGGCTGGCTGGCTGTAAATTTACAGCGTCCGTCAGAAATCTAGCCCGTCTCGGGCGGTCGTTCGGACCTTATTTCATACACTGATACTAGCAGACAAAGCTAAGGTAGCGTGTAGTCATATTACAGTGTTTAACCTGTACATATATATTGCACAGTAAGTGAGTTTTACGCGACTTTTAGCACTGTTTCTGCCCTGCCACAAGAAGAGACTTCGATGTTTTGGTTACCCTTCCAACCAGCTGTGTTGCAGGGTAAAAGATGTTTACTGGATCGGGGGTGGGGTGTTTTGACCCCTTCTTTTGATAATGACTTTAGATCACACTGAAGATTGTTTTTTGCGCTGGCGGAGCCAAAGGGGGGGATTCAGGGGGTTCAAACCCCCTCCTTTCAAAATTCCTGGATCCGCCCATGGCTATACTTTACTTTTTACAACATCGTACTCTCGGTTTTCCCGAAATGTGTGATGTCTCAACTCAGATGTTGGTGGCTGAGTGGGTTAGATCGCTGGCTTTGACTCAACCGTACACAAGTGCTAGAACCTGTACATTGCCGAGAAATTGTAATCCCAAATGTAACATATGTTACATTTGACCACTTTCTAAATGACATTGTGTATTCACTATATGATAAATCGGGCGTACACTAAAACAACACTGCGTTTTGCAGTATCTCCATTGGGTGACATTATGCCTTAAACATGCCTCATTCTTACAATGTCATTATATGGTAAAGGTATTATTGCCCCGTTTTCTATCGTACGGTTTACAACATATGTTAGAAATAAACATGTAGTCGTAAAATATTATTTTTACGACCCGGAAACACCCGACTAATTATCTCTAACAAACCATATTAATATTATTAGCAATATTCCAGCAATATCACGGCGGGGGACACCAGAAATGGGCTTCACAAATTGTACCCATTTGGGGAATCGAACCCGGGCCTTCGGCGTGACGAGCGAACGCCTTAACCACAGAGTAATGGAAACCTTCATGGTTCTGTATTGCATGGAGCTGGGCCTCAAGAGCTTGTAGCAATACTAGCATCAAGGTCTACATTGTCAGTGACTGGTCTTAGCACTATGGGGTGGTAGGGTAGCCTAGTGGTTAAAGCGTTGGCTCGTCACGCCGAAGACCCGGGTTCGAATCCCCACATGGGTAACAATGTGTGAAGCCCATTTCTGGTGTCCCCCGCCGTGATGTTGCTGGAATATTGCTAAAAGCGGCGTAAAACCATACTCAGTCAGCCAGCAATATTAATATAGGATCAGTTACTGGCTTACAGAGATCGATAACGTGTGTGAGCAGGAAATGCCGTGATCTATTCAGTGAGAGGCAACGTGCAATACAGGCAATATGGGGATTTCCGGGCGTTAATATTGCATTCGTGGCCAGGCAATACTGTCGGTGTGTGTACATACACAGTCAGTCTTAGCACTATATAAAGGTTATCCTATTACCCAGAACCAGCAAACAAAGAGCTACACAATCAGTCACAGCTATGGGGTGTTCTTTGCTGGTAGTTGCATGGTTAGATTAAACACATATATACATAAGAAAACAATAACATCATCCTCGATAATCTCCAGGGTATACGTTCCGATAAATCTCCACTATATAGTGGAGATTATCGAGGATGCAATAACATTTGATATGTATGAAATCAACAGTTACCTGGACATCATACATACCAATAATGAACCCATTATAACGAATATACCTTTTCGCATTGGAATACTAGTCATTAACTTTGATTGTTAAATAAATTACAAATTACCACACGTGTTCATATTTATCATGCGTTTGAAGTTGGCATGAACAAACAAACAAAATAAATTACATTCTTCTTGTAAAATTATCAATAAATATATAAATGCATTCAATCTGCATCCAAACAATATCTGACCTGGTGAATATAGGCGGTATCCTTTCTCCCACACAGGTGTAAAACTCAGTAACTAAATACACAACATATCCAATTATACTGAAGAAAATAAGTTAGGGATCATAAACATGTCATGGGATTTTTTACATGAAATTATTTGCGCAGTCTTCTCTAAAAAACAGTATCCCCCAATACTCATGATCCCTAACTTTTTTGTTCAGTATTAATAAATACTAAACAGATGACATTTTTATCAATAAATGATATATTTTCAAATGATTTGCATTCACACCTCGAAACACAAGAGCACCCCGGGTTACCTTATTATGCGGTGTTCTAAAGGACTTCCTGGTGGGCATAATATTACCTTGGCACACAAACTTAGTACACATGATTCTGCTGTGTTTTAAAATAAGGTGCATGGTGCATCTAACCATCCGTTAGCTATTGGTTAAATCACGGTTATCCCCATATGCTCTCCGTCTGGTTGACACTATCTATTGATGTTGTGACAGCTGTTGGCGACGGACGTCGACGTGTGTGGCCCCTTTGTGGAAAGGTCCAGAAGTACCTGGGCAATCTCCTTCATTCCTTCCTGAGACTGAAACCAGAACATATGTGTGTCGACAAAACGTGGGTAAATGCTGTATAAGGTCAAGGTTAGCAATATTCCATGATATATCATGCGGTCAAGACTGACAAACCAATGGCTGATGTTATGAACAATGTCCAACGCCGTCGCGATGAAACACCATTTTCTAAGTCACGGAGTCTAACAACCCGCAGTCTGTTTCGAATATTACGATGCGCAAGCGCAGCCTCCACTAGGAACCAGACAAGAACACACGATCCAGCCTAGTCGCCTCGTACAAGAAATATGCAGTGGTGATCGATTTAACTCGGGAGTTGCTATCAATAAAACATATGAATGAACAAGTGAAAGGCCTCTGCTTTACACAACTTAGTACGATGTGGAATCTGAAGACAGTCATTTCATAGGGTACAAGAGAGAATGAACACAGACTTGGTATCGAATTACAAATAGAGTTGTCTGCCCTTCTGGACACCTTCATCTATAAAAGTGTTTCTTACACAACCAACCTTGTGACCAAGTGAACCCCTTTTAAGTCTCCTCATAAAGTGAGAAAGCTACAGCACCTACACTCTTGGTGTTGAGATCACTGTGCGAAATAGTCACTGGCCCGCTGGCCTGTGGCTAGTAAAATCCAGTCGGGCTAGTAAATCTCGGGCCCGACTGGCTTGTGAATTCTCATGGGGTCATATGGTAAATATATCACTCTCTCCGACTTTTAAATTAAAATACCCTTTTTAATCATGCAAGATTATGGCCTGATAAAAATGTTCATCATATTAGCAGCTAAATGATGAAACCCGTGTCTACATTCACATTTCGGGCGAGTGAATTTTTTGTGGGCTAGTAACTTTCAGGCATAGCTAGCCCGACTGGCTAGCAAAATTTTGAAACTATTTCGCACACTGGAACTTGAGATGCCATACAGGGTATTGTGTACATACCTCGGTGGAGTTAGCTGGTGTAGGAGTAGACAGACTGGGAGCGAGAGAGGGAAAACTGCAACCAGAAACACCACGACAGTTACAGAGAGTTAGTTAGTGAGTGAGTGAGTGAGTGAGTTGGGTTTAATTCCACTTTCAGCAGAATTCTGGTTAGAGTTATGTGTCAGCTTCATAAGAAAGGAAACCCATCAGCAAAGCTATGGTGCCGAGAAACCTTGAAACATAAACGGGCCGAACCGGGATTCAAACCCACGATCATAGGTTTCTGGAGTGCCCAAGAGTGCCCTCAGACGACTGGGCCGACTGTGCCCCAAGAGTGTCATCGTGGCCCATGAATGTCATTGTGGCCCAAGAACGTCATCGCTGCACAGCGGATTGCCGCGCCTCAGATGACTGGGCCCGACCGTGGCCCAAGAGTGTTAGTGATAGAAATGGGGTGCTGGGGTAGCCTATGGTTAAAGCGTCCGCTCGTCATGCTGAAGACCCGGATTCGATTCTCCACATGGGTACAATGTGGGGAGACCATTTGTGGTGTCCCCGACGTGATATTGCTGGAATATTACTGAAAGTGTCGTAAAACCATACTCACTCACACATTCACTAAAAATAGAAATGCCATAGTCAGAAGAGAATGTATTAGTGTGCCGCTCCCTGTTTCAACTCATCATTACAGTTAATACTCAAATTCGGTTAAACAGTATTTTGCGTATATTGACGAGACAGTGCAGAGAAAAATATCATTAACTTACTCAAGTGCCTCCTTTGCGTCCACAAGGCAGTTTTCTTTACGTTTTAAGTGTGTGTGGGCGTTAGGTGGCACCATCTGATTGGCCGAGGCGGGAGCCGTCTTGACATGCGCAGGCTGGCCGTTAACAATGCTGTCCTGGCTGGTAGGTCTTGAGAACATCTTAGACCAGTCGGACACTGGAGGAAGAGAGGTGTCCTTCGTCTTTTTCAGTTCTTCCTCTGTTGAGCTACACGATCGCTTGAGGTTGGGTTTGCAGGGAGGCATCTGTCCTGTGTTCATCAGTACCTGCCCAGGGGCTAGCAGTCGAGGTGGGGTGTCGTCTGCCTGGGAGAAATTGGGCTCGAACTGACGGTCTCCTGGTCGAACAGGCTGACTTTGATGTCGCTGGCGTTTCTTAGCGACGACGGAGGCCGATGTAGTGCACGGTTCGATTGACCTTTTGGGCGCATGTTGTCTTGGTTGTTCCCTGGAAGTGGGTGAACCCGTCTTTTGTCCTTGACCTTGCTGCTGCTGGATGAAGTTTAGGGGAAGTGACGGAAGAGGAACAGAGGATGCTGGGAGTGTGAAAGATGCCGCAAACGCTGGGAGAGTTGTTGCTCTGAGGATAAACGGAGATCAGCATGATAAAAAAGTGATAGTTTCAATTACACAGGGGCTGGTATTCTACCTGCCTAATGCAAGCGCCATGGAAGGGCACCATTTCTGTATTGCCATAAAAGGGAGAGGTTTGGTTTTCTTCACAGTAGGTCAGGTGAAATGGGGTGTAACGTCGCACTTGAGAATATTTCTTTCATATGACGACGTGCATGCGTGTGCATGTGTATGTACTAACCCATACTTAAGATGGTTTTATAGTGCTAGCTCACTGAGATACCATGCCGCAGTTAAGCATGAATACCCTAATTCAGGCACATTTTACTGACTCCGGGTGGACCAGTCCTTGTACCCATTAATGCCGAGCGCCTAGACAGGGACCAACAAGTACCATATGTTAACGTCTTTGGGTAATTCTGTTACCCCCTATCAATTACATGATCATGGAATAACCATTTATTGTTTATTACATATTAAACTACCATCAATTATAGATGTATTTGTTTTTCCCACGGAAAATTTTGAATCGAATTGATTGTTAGCTTAAACGCACCACTCGAGTCTGGGCCAGACAATCAAAACACCAGGAGCATCGATCTACGTTATTTTGATAAGAAGAAACACATCAACTCAAGTCAGCGAGCGATTGGTCGCCTGTTATCACAAATATAAGTTGCTGAAGTCTACTTCTAAAAGGGATCTCGACTGAAAGTTGGAGTGAGTGAGTGAATGCGTGTTGTTTTACGCCGCTTTTAGCAACATTCCACAACACCACGGGGGACACCAGAAATGGGCTTCAAACATTGTACCCATGTTGGGAATCGAACCCGGATCTTCGGTGTGACGAGCGAACGCGTTAACCACTAGGCTACCCACCGCCCCCTTCTGAAAGCCGGAAATGTATGTTACGGTTATCAACGCAATTTACATTAATCTAAATTTTTAAACCCAGCTTAATGGCGCGTCACTGAACTGACCTGTACTTCATCGGTGGGGTGTTGTTCATGGGAGACCATTGTAGAACTGACTGGTTGGAAAGGTTAGGGTGGGACGGGGTGCGGCGGAGAGGGGCGGGGTGGTTCCTGGTGGATGGCGGGGGTCGCAACGCTGGTCCCCATCATGGCCAGACCGAACGGTGGGAGAGGAACTGTGGACGGGTCACTCGTTAGTCGAGATGTCGTCGGCTTGCAAGCTGAAAATACCCACATATATCAAACGGAAATCTTTTGTGTTTTTGTATGTGTGGCAGATTATGAAAGAAAGTGCACAGAAAGTCAACAAACGTCTTGCAACACTATTCCAAGAATCCAATCTAATTTCGCCTGTAGACATACAAATCAACTAAAACATTCAATAAATCCACCCCTCTCATTCCCCATCCGAACAGAGTCCTCAGGCCGTCATACACATTCCATTTATACACGTATGTTATATTTGGGACTGCACTTTGTCCGGGATTCGAACCCACTCTCAGAGTGAGGCACCAAATCGCCATCTCACAAAGTCAGCGATCTAACCCACTCAGCCACCGCTGCTTCCACAGAAAAATGTAAGTCGGACAACTGGTAGTCTAGATCACAGACTTTGTGTACTCCTCTGATGAGTGTAAACTGACACGGCTCCCAGGAGAGAAGGCTATGAACCACATCACGGCGGGGACACCAGAAATGAAAGTGGTCAAATGTAACATTAACCACTTTCTAAATGACACTCCGTATTCATAATACACGCCCAGAGAGCCTAGATAAGTAACTTGTCTATTCTGCTATACCATAGATCAATTGTGAATGAGTGAGTATGGTTTTACACCGCTTTTAGCAATATTCCACCAATATCACGGCTGGGGACAACAGAAATGGGCTTCACATATTGTACCCATGTGGGGAATCGAACCCAGGTCTTCGGCGTGACGAGAGAACGCTTTAGCCACTAGGCTACCCGACCGCCCCAGATCATTTGTGAGACAATAACGTTTAACATACATCTTAATATGAAAGTGAGATTCACCAGGGACATCAGAACTAGACCTCATGATGAACGAGTGAGTGAGTGAGTTTGGTTTTACGCCGCTTTTAGCAATATTCAAGCAATATCACGGCGGGGAAAACAAAAAAGTGGCTTAACACATTGTACACATGTGGGGAATCGAACCCGGGTCTTCGGCGTGCCGAGCGAACGCTTTAACCACTAGGCTACCCCACCGCCCCTCATTATGAACGAACGCTTCAAGCATAATCTGGTAACTAACAATGATCTGAGTGAGTGAATATGGTTTTACGCCGCTTTTAGCAATATTCCAGCAATATCACGGCGGGGACACCAGAAATGGGCTTCACATATTGAACAATGATCTGAATTAGACGGGGCTGCTGGTAGAAGATATACATTTAGTCTTCCATCTTCCCGAGTCAAGGGAGTTAACCGGGAACAGGAGATTTTTATTCAGTTAACTCCCTTGCTTCGAGGAGATATTAGTCATTATGTTTTGAGAGAGAGTGAGTGAGTTGAGTGTTACGGCGCTTTTGTCAATACTAACAAACATACTAACCCGTGCATGGAGCCACTGTGTTACAACCCAGGAAACAGCTGCTGGTGTAAGATTGTTGGTATGTAGGCCAGGGGGTTCCTGGGGGTGCCCTTGGGAGACTGAGCTGGTTTGGTGGTAGGTGTGACGGGTGTCCAGGTTGGTCAGCACCCCCAGGGAAGGGGGTGCTGACATGGAATATGGACGGGCCACAGTCTGGTCCCGACTGATATCACGACCCTGGTACCACTTCTTCTGTTTGTGGGGAAACGTGTCCTCATGACAGGCGACTGGGCGGAATGGCGGATAGGATGGAGGCTGTTCTGGACTCTGCTGGTAGGAGAGATACCGGACCGTCTCGTCTTGCAGGACTTGGTAGAACGCAGGTCGAGGCTGTTGCTGGTGGTGGTAGTCGGGGACAGAGGGACAGATGGGGTGTTTGGGGGCGGGGATTCTTGGCATGCCCAGCTGGTAGGTCGACGGGGATATATCCTCACACATGCCCGCTAGAGCCTTCAGGTACTCCGAGGTTTGGGTGGAGTGGTGGTACTTTGGTCGGTATGAAGTGGACACTTGAGTTGAGATCAGCTTCTCACTAGACGCCGCCACGGACCGAATAGCTCTAGCAACGTCGTGGTCCTCAACCTTCTGTCCGCTGATGGTGTCGTAGGTGAAGTTTTGAGGTTGATACTGCTGATGCACAACGTTGTTGTAGAACTGGTTCTTCCCGGCATACGGGATGAAGAAGTCACCCGTGGGAGTCTTATCAACTTGCTTCAGCTCCACTGATAATCCATCAACCTGCTGGAAATCCCCTCCGTATCGACTCTCCCCACCCTCCTCCTTGTGAGCAGTCTCCTCCCCCGACAGCAGATCCTCGGGGGAGTCGGACAACCCATCCGAGCAACTCACGTCAGCCTCAATCTCGCTGCAGGAAGACGGATGGCCGCCTTTGGGTTTGTGAGACTTGCTTTCTTTCTTTAGTCTGAGACGGCGCCTAGCATTGGCAAACCAGGTCTTCACCTGGCTCAGGGACAAGCCCGAGTTCTTCATAAGCAGGTCCTTGTCAATCTTGGAGGGGTATGGATCCGTGGGATGATCCAGGAGCCACGCCCTCAGGATCTGCAGAGCTTGGTCCGGGAGTCGGGTCGTTGGACGTGTCCCGTTTGGACAGATGTGTTCAGGGGGTAGGAATCTGTAAAAGACTTGTTGTGGGTAACCTATTGCTTGCGTCTTTTACTTGCACAGGTCTATGTTATAAACATTAAACATTTATATGGAAACTGAGCGTGACCAATGCTTAAAGAGAGAGTGGCTTAACACCGCATTATGAAGTACGTGTATTCGGTTATATTTTGGCGTTTTATCTTGACAAAAGACAAAGGCTCGAAGAGAGGCAGGCCATTGTTAAAAGCCGCATCAACATTGCAGCAACTTGTGATATAATCTAACTAAATAACTGATCAATTTACTTCCAGTGAATCAGTAACAGTTTTCATAGATTTTGTCATCAATCTAGCCATTTAATAATGGCACCTGTTGATATATACTACTGCACATATTGAGTGAATTTGGTTTTACGCCGCGTTTAGCAATATTCCAGGAAAATCACGGCGGAGGACACCAGAAATGCCTTTCACGCATTGTACCCATGTGGGGAATCGAACCAGGGTCTTCGGCGTGACGAGCGAACGCTTTAACCACTAGGCTACCCCACCGCCCCCTGCTGCACGGAATACTGACCCACCTTTGGCGTATTCTGTATCTGAGGAGGGCGTTGAGGGGTTTCCCATGCGTTCCTCCCACTCCCGGTAATGAGCCTCGTCCCAGATGTCCAGCAACCCGTCTTTGTTGCTGAAGTTGCCATTCTGAAACAGGAAGTGTGTCGGGGTCATCCTCGAAAATCCAGTGTATTTTATCTACACACGGTTAGCAGAGCGACGTTTCGGTGTAGGTTCTGACACCGTTATCAAGCAACTAGCTTGATAATGGTGTCAGAACCTACACCGAAACGTCGCTCTCACAGCAATAAAAACTTGCTTGATAACGGTGTCAGAACCTACACCGAAACGTCGCTCTCACAGCAATATAGAAGTTGTTCATCCATATATTGTTATCCTTCCTTACTGCTCCAACTTCTAAATGCCTCTCAAAGAAGTTATTGAGTACAAGTTATTTAAGGTAGAAAGATTTCATTGTTTTTGAAAAGATAGATAGCGTTCAGTAATCCGTTCCCGAGTCCCCATATTCAGTTCGAACTGTTCATGCATTACAAATATTACTTTCTCAACCGTCTAATTAGAGAATGATTAAATAGAAACTCTTACACTAAATCAAAATATTTGTAACCTTTAACTGCTTGTTCCATCATATTAATTAAATTGTAGCTAAGGTCACATGCAACCAAAAAATCAAACATAATTAAAACACAATTATCACTTATTCGTGACATATAATATACATTGCTGGTTATGAAAAAACATATAAACAAAATTATAAGCGTACAATCGCAAATCAAAAGTGCCATATTGTGTACTTGGGTTTACTTCCCAAGAAACGAAGCAGCCGGGATACCGAACCCAGTCAGAGCGGGTGGGTGTGCACTCAAGTGTAACGGCTGGTTCATTAGCAGATGCCCTCACGGCTCATTGTGTGTGTATATAGAGAGATGTTGGGTTTTGTGTTCAAGTATCACACCTGCCTGTCTGTGTAATTACATAATGTGACAGAGACCGAACTCGGGCCATAAATCAATGCATTTTGTTTATGGTGTATAGCCTGATTGGTGTTAAGTTCAAATTGCATGTGGTCAGTGATAGCAGCTGTGTATTGAATATTGTCATTAGCAGACAGGCAGGCAGACACACGGGTGTCAATAAAACAAGACATTGAGTTTTGTCTGTGACAACGACATATCTATATCACAGTTAGAAAGTCTGTCAACGCTAAATAATGACATTGCTTTTAAGTATCGAACTGAGAAAGTGACTCGGTAAGAAGAACGTGTGGTGAAATAGACAAATGAAGGTATATAAACAGTTAATTTACTGTCATAACATATAAAAAGCTTGCGCCTGTGAGCTATCAACAAAACATTAGAAAAATAGCTCACACCAAAGCCTTCACCGAGTATTCACCGGACAACCCGCTTCCAAGCTGCGCGAACCTATTTCACTGCGCATGTGCTATGAGCGCAGCCCAGCTGTTGAAACCCGTTTTCCCCAGAAAACTCGGGGGAAAATTAGTAAAACGTTTGAACTCCGATTTCGCGCGGTTTTTTTTTCATCGCGTTATTTTTCAACTTTATAAGTTGAATTTGCATTTTTGACGATTTGTTTCGGTAAGTCCATACCGAAAGGTATCAGAATCTGCAAAGTTGTATTTTACGTTGCATGTGACCTTTAAGCATTTAAATTTCTACGCAAGGTTATATAACGGCCGTACGTTTGATCTTAAGTCAGTAATAAATGTAAAAAGATAGAGAACATGATTCCAAAATTATTGTGTAGAAATTATAATTAGATTTGAACATTGGTACATCTGTGTTACACAATTTCAGTAGATATAGTTTTAGGTGAAAACATATTTGAATATATTTTCTATGAATTATTTTTTCATAATTCAAAACCTTCTTATAAATCCCGTTTTCACGCACGTTCGTTTAGATATACATGTCTTAAAATGTATGACTACAATATCGAAGACCTGGAAACTTGCTGATGCGACTTAACGCAGTATTCATTCATTCATTCATTCATTCATTCATACAACATAATATATAAATGATTTCTAAAGTAATTAATTTTCTCACCTCTAACAGAGAAAACACTTCATTATATTTTCGCTGTGTCATCCTCAAGCTCAACAACGCTCGGACGAACTTCTCATTCTCTTTCATTTTGTCCAGGAAGTTGTCATCCAGACTGTTGACAAAATGAACCATGTTTGCGTAGTGTCCTCCTTTCACGAACATGTTGGCAATTTCAGCGGCGAGATTAACATGAGAAGGTCCAACCTCCAGCGTTTTGATAGCATCCCATGCTTTGATGTAACTTTCAATACTCTCCTCTTCGCTGTGCTTGTTTGAAAGATTCCAGTTAGACACGGAAACACCATCCATTTTCTCAAATTCGAAGCACCTACTGTTCGCTTCTCAAGTCGATATCTGATTGGATCCTTGCGATTTATTGAGCTATATACAAGAGCATATTACATAAAATTTCAAAACTGCTCGTGGTTTGTGTCTTGTCTATGCACAGACTGGTGTCAATAGACTGAAGATCACGAAAATAACGACCAGAACGTGCAGCACGTGCAGCCTACAAGCTGGGCGCATCCACCTTTCGCTTGCCGCCTTCAGAAATGTGAACGGGATGTCTAAGTTTTGTTTGGACAACTTGTGAAAAATATTCTTCAGTTTGTAGACGTTCCTATAGCTAACAAACTTAAAATAAATTAAAAAGTTATTTTTACGAGTAACTCCAGTAAGACCTCCTTGGTAGTTATTCCATTTCTACCTGTTGTATGTGATATCAAACGTATGTATCAATACAAATAAACAAATGTAAGCATATACTTAACTACTAAACTAAAGCAATATGAACTAAAAATCAGGCGCATGTTCACGATAATTATACGTACTAAACATATATATATAAATATACATAAAAATCAACTGAACATTTTAACCGCATTACGTAAGGATTTTTGTTTTGAACTGACCCATCAGACCTATGTCCACCTACGCTTAACAAGGAAAGAGTTGTTAATTTCACCCAGCTCGACCTTGTACATTCACCCCGCACCTAGACACATGCTATAAACGTATTCACAAGACGTTGCGGGAAATTATGTCTGTGCTGTCTGGGTTCGAACCCAATATTTATGCACTCGGTCGACAGCTTTAATTTGGAAAGCTGCCAAATTTGTTCTTGCGGGTTTCTTGTTCTATAGATCAATACCGATAAATTCCAATTTTTTTAAAACATTAATTATTCTATCATATTGTTCAAACAATAATGATTATATTTTTACACATTAGGAATATTGAAAATATCACTGTCTCGTTATATTTGGGGTCATGTGAGCGATATTTGATTTCGTCATGTTTTGTACTGGTGAACAGCTTGCAGGTGCGGTGCCAAACCAACTGCGCGTGTCGCACGAGCGCCGTGTCACAACAACGCGCACACGTGTTCGCTGCTCGTGTCTCACACGAGCCAAGTTGCCATATATGGACTGAGGCTTATTTCTGACAATATGGGGGCGAATATTGATGAGCTTGGGAGTAGATATCTGTGGATAAGTGACACAAATTAGTTGAAATATATTTGTTAATTACATCTACAAATTTCACATATGCCTGTGTTTTGTGTCAGAATTATGTGGTAGAATTTGGCGTACAATTGAAAAAAAAAAAAAAGTGACTTTACACATCCATGTTGAAATTTCAGGTATCACACACTAAAGGCTTCATCTGGTATTGCTTGCAGTAGTTTGTAGTCCGTTTGGCTCAAAAGCGGACCGATGAATTGCAATCTAGCTCGAAAACTACAAAACATATTATACTCAATGAAACACTGATCATAATCAAAACATCAAACGGACTATAATTAACAAGGTGATGGATCAATATAGCCCCATGCATAGTAGGGGCGGTGGGGTAGCCTAGTGGTTTAAGCGTCCGCTCGTCACGCCGAAGACCCGGGTTCGATTCCCCACATAGGTACAATGTGAGAAGCCCATTTCTGGTGTCCTCCGCTGTGATATTGCTGGAATATTGCTAAAAGCGACGTAAAACCAAGCTCATTCACTCACACACTAAAGAAATCAGTATTTCGGTTGTATTACGGTATGCCAGCTTGATAAGGCAGGGAAACGAAGAACATGAAGACGAAGGCATTAACCACTTTGATGAAACCCATGAGTGTGGTAACCCGTGAGGATCCGGGTTAGAATTGATCTTCAGCAACCCATGCTTGTCGTAAGAGGCGACTAACGGGATCGGGTGGTCAGGCTCGCTGACTTGGTTGACATATGTCATCGCATCCCAATTGCGTAGATCGATGCTCATGCTATTGATCACTGGATTGTCTGGTCTAGACTCGATTATGTACAGACCGCCTCCATATAGCTGGAATATTGCTGAGTGCGGCGTAAAACTTAACTCACTCATGAGCGTGGTGGTGAAATCACAAGCGGAGAGAATAGCGAACTGGGGTTTGAACCCACAGTCCCAGATTTCCGACACTGTGAAGGGACGCAACTCTGTGATGATAGAATAAACAACGATTCCTCCTGGTATGGGACGGGGCGGTGGGGTAGCCCAGTGGTTAAAGCGTTGGCTCGTCACGCCGAAGATCCCGGGTTCGAATCCCCACAGGGGTACAATGTGTGAAGCCCATTTCTGGTGTCCCCCGCCGTGATGTTGCTGGAATATCGCTAAAAGCGGCGTAAAACCAAACTCAGTCAGTCAGTCCTGGTATGGTACACACAAGCAATAATCACAATTAGGGTGAGTCCCGAATCCAAGACCCTAGAATTATGGCACGTTTGAAAAGGTAACTCTTCACTGCAAATTGCGTTGTCTGTGAGTACTCAACCCCATTGATGTCAGGCCAAGAATGGGACTACTGAGAGATATTGCAATTGTATTTGTCAGTTGAATACAATTGCCAATACTCGGAAAACATGTACAAGACAGGAAATAGATAAATTTAAAAACAACCGAAATATCACTTTGGAAATTATCAAGTCCGATCCGGACAGTCCAGTGACATGATCCTCTATCTATGCAAATGAAATACGATGTTACCCATCAATCAATTCCGACAGCCTGACCACCCGATCCCGTTAGTCGTCTCTATATGAGGTGAGGTGAGATGAAATGGGGTTTAACGTCGTGCTGGAGAATATTTCGTTCATATATGACGACGTCTCTATATGAAAACTACACCATAACATTTTAAAAAACCCGCTCATGCCATATTTACCCCCCCCCCTTTCCCACAGGGTCTTGTAACGCAAGAAACAAATAAAATACCCCTCCCAAAAAAAAAAATAAAAATAAATAAATAACAAAAAAATAATAATAATAAATAAAATAAAAATATTTTTTTAAAATAATAATCAAAAACAAATAAATAAAATATAATAAATAAATAAATAAATAAAAATAACAATTAAAACATATAATAAATAAAAAAATGACCATACGTCATAAACAGTTTTCATTTTTCACTGACGGGATCTTAGCACAGTATATCATTTATATTGTGTTAATAATACCCTTCATCATGCCTGTTCTTTGCGTTTCAAGCCCCTGTGTCTCTCTCGACATATACCACATCTCGGCATATACATCCCAACCCCGAACTCGACATATTCATCTAGTCAACATACTACATGTCATCATAGTGTATGCTCATGACTCAATAATGTAAAGACCGCCTTTATTTACCTGAGATATTGCTGAGTGCGGCGTTAAACAACACTGTACACCTTTTCTCAGGCATATCCAACAAACGTCCTTTACAGCATTACAGTTCCACAACAAAATACCCGTAACAGACCCTTGTAACTCAATAATATTCAAATGAAAACTGTTTATGAAGTTTGCGGAATCACTGAAAGCAGAAACGTGTATGGTTGCCTGCGATGTGGGTGGATTATAATGAATTGGAGCCGCGGAAAGTCTAGCTAGCAGACGACTCGCATTGAGAACCTGCAGGACGGGTTTTGCCTGATCGAGAATGTCGGTATTTTTAGCTCTTCCATTGGATTTGTGTTTGAGGCAAGACTACAACGCGAAACCCACACCTTATATTGCTCATTCGGCAACAGGCGTTTGGAGACACGATTTTTAACTTCACAGTAGATACAGGTGAGAATTGTGTGATTTATAGGTAAGGTTCCATGTCAAAACAGACAACATAGCACCATGGCAGATCTGTTTGAACATGGCAGCTTAAACAGAGCTTACATCAAAAAGCAACTCTCGTCAAATCAGATATGTTATTGAACTGGGTGGTTATTTTGAATGATATCTATACACTCACATGAACATTTTGTATGTAAACCTGTTATGAAATGTTTAATATGTAATGTACAAATTAATATGTAATGTAGATGATATTTAGTCATTTAGTGTTATATATCAAAGTATTTTAACGTGCAATGTCTTGATTACTCTCTGTTGTTTTTCATGTCCAAATTGGGTTCCCCCTTGTTTTCATCGTAGCAATGTTATCCAGATGACATTGAGAGACAGAAATGTTAGGGTTAAAAAATGTAACATTGGACATATAGTAACAATTTTTGTATAACAACAACATTATCGCTTGCCATTGCTGTAAGGATTCGATTAAAAATATGATATAGTTGTATATTAAAGAGTATGATGAACATACATTGTGTCCATTTTGCCATCTTGTGCCTTTAACAATCTAATGATTTCTGGATTAGTTCTTTCTAGGGACTGTTCATAATTTATGGCTGGGCTGGGTATGGGTGTGGGCGTGTGTGTGTGTGGGGTGACGATGATTTTTATGGAAAAGCATGTACAAAGTTAATGACCCCCCCAAATTTATGTTCAAAGCAAGATCCCCACCCCTCTCCCATGTCAAATGGGACCCTCCATGACCCTATGTTACATAAGATATTTATTTTTAATAATTTTAGGCACAAAATTGATGACACCCTCCACCCCCCAACCTACCCCAGAACAAAATGGGTGCTGCGGGGCATGGTCCCCCATTTCTCCCCTTCCTTCCTCTCTTTTCTCTCCCCAAAAAACAAAACAAAAACAAACAAACAAAAACAAAAACAACAAATTAACAACAACATAAAACATCATCACCCCACCCAGCCCTAAATTATGACGGCCCCCTAAACAGTTACAAGTGACACCTGACATTATATATAAGAATACCTGATTTTAATAATATGCCATCCTCGGGAAAGGAAGACTCATTTTGGACTGTTTCCTTAGGTTGTATTTATTGCAGTGAGTGGGAATGGTCTTTTGCTGCTTTTAGCAATATTCCACAGCAGGGGAATAAGAAATGGTTAAGGTGGCAAGAGAAAACTTGTCTAAGTCACTACCTTATTCATCATAGAGATACTCATGCCAATAATGGTTGTCACCCCCTCCCCACCCCAACCCCACACCCACCTCACACCCACCCCACACCCCCTCTCCAATTAAAAAAATTGAAGGGGGTGACAACCATTATTGGCATGAGTATAAGAGAAGCAGTGGCCCGGTCCATCAGTCATGAACAAATATACTCTCATTTTGCTGTTCAAATATTAATTCTTTGTGTGGTTTCCATCACAACATTTGCTTAAAAATGACAAACAGACATATTTATGACACAGTCACAAAAGGAAAAAAAATAGGGTTGTGACTTTTTTAATACTCTCATGGAAGATATTGTTCTCTGGAACATTTTGAAAAAGAAGTATATTGTAATATATTGTAATATATGGTAGAACACTCAAAATAGAAATTACTTTGTATGAACCAAAAGGGAGGTTGTGTCATAAAATTGAGACGTTCAGTACACCCAAATGAGAATATTTTCGTATAATCCAGTAGGTACATACAGCAAATTCCCATTAATCATCTTATCCAATAATCTGATGTGTTAAGTCAACCCAGGTCAAGGTGTTGGTATTTTTGTCCTTTTGTTTTCTTCAAGCAATGGCCATGTATCTGGAAATCTGAGAGTCTAATAATTTTGTACATGGTAATACATAGTACATACTATGTTTGACATTTGATTTAACTGTTTTTCTGGCGTTTCAGATGGTGTCAACTTCACACCATGACTTTATAAATAAAACTAAAACTGATGTTATTTTGAAATTTTTGAAAATAGACAAATTTAAAAATGTTGCCACCAGTGCCATGGTGATTTGTGAGATGGAACAATTATAGAAACCTGATTGACATCATATAAATTATATGACTCACAGAAAAAAATATCTAACATTAATGGAGGGACAAGAAAATGTCCATATATTTAAGCACAGCTAAAATAATGATTAATATTATTTCATTGATTGAACATACAGAGAATATGGTATTTTACATGGATTTCACTGCAGGAAGTAGATTGAAGGAAGATGAATGTACACCGAAATCAAGCCCCAATTTGGTGAAATGGAATCACTGACTGAGTTTAGTTTTATGCCGCTTTTAGCAATATTCCAGCAAAATCAAGGCGGGGGACACCAGAAATGGGCTTCACACATTGTGCCCATGTGGGGAATCGAACCCGGGTCTTCATCGTGACGAAATGGAATCAAATTCCAAAAGACTAATAATAGAAATTCAGTGTTTGATACCATTTCTTGCCAAAATGTTGGTACGAGTGCTTTCTAATTTCTTTAAATGATGAACTAGTGATCAAAATCCGTCACTTAACCATTGTGTATAGTCTGGCTGACCATACAGGGTGGTTGGTTAATATACAGGTGGTCTTGATCATGCTCTAGCAGTCATCTACAGGACTGGATTAATGGATTACATAGTTAATGTGATTTGGTACTATACCTAGTTATGAGTGGGCAGTGGTTTTCGGATCATGGATAATAAGTAACACTCACTGAAAATACTGATAAATGTGTTCTGAAATGCAAGTTTTCATTGAATGTATTTTTATATAAAAGTCCTTGTTTGAAAATATATTGGGTGTTTTTTTCAAGTTGTGCCTGGGTAGGGTTGGGTAATAGGGGTTTGATACCTGGGTTGGTTGGGTATTAGGGGTAGGATACCTGGGTGGGTTGGGTATTTGGGGTCAGATACCTGGGTGGGGTTGGGTAATAGGGGTAGGATACCTGGGTTGGGTTGGGTAATAGGGTAGGATACCTGGGTGGGTTGGGTAATAGAGGTCTGATACCTGGGTGTGTTGGGTATTAGGGTAAGATCCCTGGGTGGGTTGGGTATTAGGGGGGTTAGGATACCTGGGTGGGTTGGGTAATAGGGGATACCTAGGATACCTGGTTGGGGTTGGGGTAGGATAGGGGGGTAGGATACCTGGGTGTGGATACCTGGTATTAGGGGTTGGATACCTGGGTGGGTTGGGTATTAGGGTCCGATACCTGGGGATACCTGTGTGGGTTGGGTAATAGGGTCTGATACCTAGGGTGGGGTTGGGTAATAGGGGTAGGATACCTGGGTGGGTTCGGTAATAGGTTGTTGTATACTTGGGTAGGATTATAGGTAATAGGGGGTCATAGAAGATGCTTTAATGATTTGTTTTGATTTTTTGCATTGAACATTCAAAATGCAGTGTTAAATATTTCTAAAGAACGTAAGAACATTGATAAAGTCTGCAAAATAGAACAAAATATAATTTTTGCCCCAATTTTGATGCCAATGGTGCTTGGTTTGTAATCCTAGACAATCCCTGTAATTAATGTTCTCACAGCTGCTCAGCATCTGTATCTGTGCTTGGCCAACACCCTTCCAGATAAAACACACCTTTCACTTGTTGCAGCTCCTCTAACCTGCCACCATGTGCTGCTCGCTGAAACTCACCAAGTTTTTCTTCGTGTTGGTGGACATTCTATTCCTGGTGAGTTCAAATTTTGTTTGACTGAACACATGAACAACAAACAGATTAAATTATTCTGGTATCCAAAGAGCAATTGTTGATCTCGGCTAGAACTAGTTCTCAGCAACCAATGAATGCATGTAAGAGAGGACTGTATAGATGGATCGAGAGGTCAGGCCAGGTTGTTAACGCCAGCTATATTACATTAGTCTGTGGATGATCATGTCTGGACTAGACAATCCATTGATTGACATCATGAACAAGCATGATCAATGCAATTTGGGATACAATGACGTGTGTCAACAAGTCTAAATTTTCTTTATAAGTAAAATACTAAACACGAAAGAAACTGAAAAAGAAAGATCTCATTAATTTGAATCCCCCCCAAAAAGAAAAAAAAAGTCAGCGAGCCTCTTACAACAAGCATGGATTGCTGAAGACCGTTACTAACCTCGATCTTCACGGTTAAAAAAATATATGGGTTTAGAGAGTTTCCAGCAGTAAATAGTATCCTCAAAGCTCCATGCACAGTATCACTGTTTATAATCATCTTTTAAAACAAAGATGATCAGTAAGGCTGCCAAAGGTCAACTATGAGCTGAATATGACTGTTTCGGTGACATATCATGAATATTGGGTAATAAACACAATAGTGAGTGAGTGAGTTTAGTTTTATGCCGCACCCAGCTGTGGTCTGTAAATAGTCATGTCTGGACCAGACAATCCAGTGATCAACAGCATGAGCATTGATCTACGCAATTGGGACATGATGACATGTGTCAACCAAGTTAGGGAGCCTGACCACCTGATCCCGTTAGTCGCCTCTTACGACAAGCATGGGTTACTGAAGATCAATTCTAATCTGGATCTTCACGGTGAAATAAATACAATAACACGTCAGCAGTCAGCATCATCATCATCGGATCATCATCATCGTGAAACAATGACAATAAAGTCTTTGCATGTTTTGTCATCAGTCATCATCATCATCATCATCAGTGTTGTTCATCATATTCAGTGAAACAATGACAATAAATTCTTGGACGTGTTTCTGATCATGTCGACAGTGTTAATTTATCATGACAATAACCAGTAGCCACATTAACATTAAATTAAATATATAGGAGTTATTATATGTATAATATTATCCTGCTGGCTTTGATGGATTCCATTTTGCATATCTCGCATTGATGAATAACATGCAAATTCAAGTACAAACACTTTCTTTTAGAAAATTCATGAATATTTGATTATTGTGATCATGAAAAATGAATTGAATTGAAAGTTTACAGTAAGTCCACCAAATATGGAAGTCAGTCATGCCATATGCCAGTGGAAATAAATTGTGACACAGCATGTGCATATTTTAACATCTGCATACATGACTGACGATATTGTTTCTTGACATTCCTTTATATGATTTTATTTAATTTTAAAATTCATCTAATGATTTTCCCCTTGCTTTAGTTGATGGGTTTCGCCATGGTGGGAATAGGAGCCTGGGTACAGTTGAACCAGGCCGACTTCCTGGGCGTCCTCGTGGACAGCAAGTACGTCAGTGTCCCTCTGGTCATGATAGCAGCTGGCACCATCGTCATCATCGTCTCCATCATCGGCCTCATCGGCGCCTGCATGCAGCAGAAATGCTGTCTTATCATGGTGAGTGGGAACATGGGTTTGTGATGCATCGTAAAATCAGAATACAGATTGGTATCTTATCGCAAGTTACATGACCACATTGGCTGGTAAATTTGATAAAAATGGTATTTCACAAGATACTTTATGTTGGAATGCTGGAAGAAATTAATTTTGGTAAAAATAATCTTTTTTGATAATACTGACCATAGCTGTTTTTATGATGTATATGATGTAAGCATTGTTTGATGCATGTATACAATGCATTTCAAGGGCACTGCACATTTATAATTGGTATCACCAATGGTTTCTTTACTATTGTAACTGAAATTCAAAAGTGGTGAAAGCATCAAGCATATAGTCGTGTGTATACTCCCACTGGTAGTCTGTGGACCTACTCCTATGGCGACTCTGTGATAAGGGAGGTAACTGACTATTTCATAGCCAGTTTCCTCCCTTGTCATAGGAAGCTTGAAATAGCCTTCTAAAATTGATATGGTCTGTGCTTAAATTTTTAAGTTTAGCCATTTGTTGAACTTTTTGTGGGTATGGTCAAGAATCCATTTGTACTTTTCTATCTTTATAATATTGATGACTCAGGGGTTTATAAAAGAGCGCAAATTGAAAATAATGAACATAATGTTTTAAACTGGGATATGTTCAGTTCTTATTTTCTAAAGTTACAGGTACTCTAACAGTTGTATTCAATACAGTCCCAGCAGGCACATCAGCGTTGTTTCAACGTTGAGAATAGGCTTGATCCTCAACGTTTTTTGAGTAAAATTGATATTTTATACTTATATCCTGACTCATGCTCTTTTTTAACTTGTCTCCTTCCTCTTGCGAACATAGTGGAACACTTGTATCTCCCTAATTGAAGTTCCTTCAATGTAAAATCACTAATTAATGTACACCACGAGTTACCTCCCTTCCCTTCCTCTTGCTTGAACATAGGGAGCAGAGCCACCCTCTACCCATGTGCCTCACTCTCTCCTCATATACTGGGCCCAACATTTGAATTTACAGGAAATCCAAAGTGTTATTTGGGGAGGATGGGAGGGCTGACCTCATGAGTCAGGATAAGTATAAAATATCAATTTTACTCAAAAATTACATATTTTTCCTTATCCTGACTCATCTCTTTAACTTGTAGAATCCAACAGGCGGAGGTGGGAATATATAATACTTTGGATTTTAATAATTAGTGATTTGAACTGTGATGATTGTAATAACCCTATGAGAACTTCATAAAGGCATTGAACTGATGAATTCCTGCTGCCAGCTTATCAGCTGCCATATAGAGGTTATTACAATGTACTTATTATGATAAGTATATATAATATTAATACAATGCTTAAGACTAATAGACTTAAGCTTGTTAATATGCTAGTATAAACTCCTTAGAGTTTGTTAGCTAAAATACTTTAAGATATAAACATAGCACTAAGCTTAAAATATGATTAATTTTAAGCTAATTATATAATAACAAACCTCTTTAGGGTTTGTTAGTTAAAATATTTATATGATATAGACAGTGCTGAGCTTAAGATATGAATAAGCAGCTATATATATAACAGCAAACTTTGTAGAGTTTGTTAGCTAATACATTTTACAATATGAGTATAGTATTGTGCTTAAGATATAATTATCTTAAGCTACATATATAATAGCCAAACTTAGTATAGTTTGTTAGCTAATATATTTTTACAATATGAGTATAATACTGTGCTTAAGATATAATTAACTTAAGCTACATATATAATAGCCAAACTTAGTATAGTTTGTTAGCTAATATATTTTTTTACAATATGAGTATAGTACTGTGCTTAAGATATAATTAACTTAAGCTACATATATAATAGCCAAACTTAGTAAAGTTTGTTAGCTAATATATTTTTACAATATGAGTATAGTACTGTGCTTAAGATATAATTAACTTAAGCTACATATACAATAATAAAAACTCTGTAGAGCTTATTAGCTAATAGATTTATAATGTAACCATAGTACTAAGCTTAAGATATGATTAGACTTAAGCTAAATGTATATAGCAAAAACTCCTTAGAGTTTATTAACTAATATACTTTTATGTTATAAACATAGTACTGAGCTTAAGATATGATTAAACTTAAGCTATATATATATAATAGTAAAACTCCGTAGAGTTTGATAGCTAATACATTTTATTATGTTGATTTAGACCTAGTATTGAGCTTAAGATATGAAGTAAACCTTAAGCTAAATATATAATAACAAAAACCTTTTAGAGTTTTAATAGCTAATATACTTATATGGTATCAACATAGTATTGAGCTTAAGATATGAAGAAACCTTAAGCTACATATGTATAGCAAAAACTCCGTTAGAGTTTGTTAGCTAATACATGATATAATGTAACCATAAAGCTTAAAATATGATGAAAACTTAAGCCCAATATATAATAGCAAAAACTCTTTTAGAGTTTTGATAGCTAATATACCTATATGCTATAAACATAGTACTAAGCAAGATATGAATAAGCTTAAGTTACATATATAATAGCAAAAAACTCCATAGAGTTTGTTAGCTAATACATGTTATAATGTAACCATATTGCTTAAGATATGATGAAACTTAAGCCAAATAGCAAAAGCTCTTTAGAGTTTGTTAGCTAATATAGTTATATGATATAAACATAGTACTGAGCTTAAGATATGAATGAGCTTAAGCTACCTATATAATAGCAAAACTCCGTAGAGTTTGTTAGCTAATGTATTTTTACAATATGAGTATAGTACTATGCTTAAAATATACTTGACTTAAGCTACGTATATAATAGCCAAAAAACTCTGTAGAGTTTGTTAGCTAATGCATTTATCATGTAACCACTGTGATGATAAAAACGAGCTTAAGCAAATTATATATAGCATGAAGCTATTTAGTACTGTTATAAGATAAGTAAAAATCTGTAAGATTGACTTATCTTCTCCGAGAACTGTCAACTGTTGTGCAAGGACCATGGGATCGAATTGGTGGATACCTGAGATGTCCTCGGTGGTGATATCTCTCAGATAATGGTTGGCAACCACCATATCGGATCTACAGTAATAAACCCTCCATTATTTCAAATAACATTTGTGTAGATGAAATTGTAGAAGTTAGGGCTCTAATATCAAGAGTATTAAAGCTCATGGAGGGTCGGATTAGGTCCATCTGTCTTGTATGCACGTAGTATGACAGTTCTGATCCAAACGGAGATATAGTACGTGAGACTACACTCTGCGTAAGTTGATGATAGAGGAAAAAAATCTGTTGTATTTTTTCTTCCTGTTTGGTTTGGTGGAGATAAATTTACAGTGCTCTTGCTGGCCAGCGTGATAGCATCATCGTATCATGGAGTCCAAGTATGTCATCCAGGCATGTTCATAAACCTCACTTGTGAGGTGTTGTAACACTATATTCATATCCCCAAGTTGGTACGTGAAACTTCCGTTTATTCTCCAAACAGAAACTTAGTAGGTTTACTAACCATCTAGTTGTGTTAGTAGCTTGATGATGAAATTCAGGTGTAGTCTGAAACGCTGTGGATTTCGATCCACTTGTATCACGTCGTCTAGGTAAATCGTTGCGATGTCCTTGGCGATGTATGTCTGCACAACCGGGAGTTTGTGTCCTCGATGAACTTTATGTAAAATCGCCTGACTGCTGTGCCCTTGTCTAAACTTGACAGGGGAGGTCTCTAACCTGAAGAAAGCAGCCTAATCATGAAGGTTCAGGTTAACTGGGCTGTAAGGAGGCTTGCTCGTTCATTGATATAAAGTTGTCACTTGCAACCTATGTCTTGAACTGTGAACTATGCTCGACCTCTGTGTAGGGCGTTGTTCATCGAGGGTCCAATCAGAATAAGGCATTTTGATTCTGTAGAGTACCCCGCTGTGATGTCACCGGTGTAGCAGGAAAAGGAACCTTGTATAATATAGTGCGTCGTTGATATTAGAACAATCATCGGTCTTCATCGTAACTTCCGAAGTTACCCGAGTGACCACGTGTTTCGAGGATTAATGGTAAACGCGCGAAGCTTCGGCGCAAAATACCTTGCTCTGTAATATTAATGCTGGGTAGGTTATTTTCCTGGCTGTCGTGAAAGTACTTCAGTTTTGAATATAATTCCGACTTCTTTATATATAAAAGGTACAATAACTTGTAAGTTGTCAGCTTGTAGACTGTATACATGAATGTATCGTCATAATTGTAGAATTAAAGCTGAATTTGTTGTACATATTTCTTCTCAGAAATGTTGGCGATTATGAGTTATACTGCGCTGTAACAAGGCTGCTGTTCAATTTCGATATTGAATTGTCTGCAGATATGCGTAATGGTCACGCATGTAGATAATCGTATCGTCGTCGGGATTGCATATACTAGCAATTTATACGGAATAGTTGATTTCTGTGAAGATCTATGAAGCGTCGTTGACAAATTAATACAGCGGCGTTCTGTGTTGTAAATAGCCTGTGCAATTGTCTTCGCGTAGGCTTATAGGCGGCATCTGGCATACAGTTGATAGACAACTTATGCGATGTCTTGAACGGACTGAGGAGTAGCTATATATGGCGAGTGGCTAGTATATGGAGACCTTGGAGGAGACTTCCTCGGTGAGCGCCGGAGACTTCACGAAGCTCTCGAAGTATCCCTTCTAGATCTACTGGTGAAGTAGACTTGGAGCCACTTAGCCTTAGCGACCTTCGCGAAGGTATCGATCAAAGTCGATTAGAATATATATATATATATATATATATATATATATATATATATAATAGAAGCTTGCTTCGCGAATGGCCTCTGTGTTTAACAGGATGTGGGGTCGTGCGAAGCTTCTCCTCCTCCGCGACGTCCCTTGTAGCTGGTGAGGCTCTAGCTCCTTCGCGGAGGCGACCTGGGACTTGCTGGTTCTGCATAAGTAGGGCCGAGTGGATCATCTTATCATTTTTCAGAAGTCGTGTTACGAAATCTGGTGATAAGTGTCTCAATGATCGTTCTAGATC